TACGCGATTGGATCGACGTTCGCTGCGATACGACGATACGATAATCTTGTCCCGTTATTGCGTAATTGCATTAACGCTTTTGCACGCATTGAATTTCATACGTGTGTATGCGGATAGTATCGATGATCGTGGATTAAATATGATGAAATCATAAAATATTTCTGTCTCTTTCAATAGTATTTTGAATCAAGCTAATGATACCTGCTATTAGAAAACAATCAAGAATCTAGCGATCCTAACCTAACAATCTAAGCGTCGAGTATTTTTAAGGTTCTAATAAAATTTTTAAAAAGTTTGTTTAAAGAAATTAATTCGAAAGAAAAGAAGATATTAATTCGAAATATATGGTACGTAAAATACATATCATAAAATCGCGCAAATCTTCTATTCTTTCGCAACGATATTTCGTTATCCGTCCTCAAACTTTTCACGCATTTTTATCTATAGCCTTCCTCCATCTCTGCTGTTACACTACGTTCTGCGTTCCACCCCTCTCGTTCGCAATCTAACTGCGATAATTGTTTTTTTTGCTTCGTTGCCGACAAAAAAATCGTTTGGAGATTCGAGACAGAAAAAGCCGAAAATATTACGGTTTATAAAATCATATAATTATTGCATAAAAGATCGACATATGAGAGACGACTACTCGCTGTCAATAATAAATTGTTCAAGTAATGATAAAATATATTAATCTGTTTGCTCGTATACGATTTTCTTTTTTATTAATTGATATTAATACAGGTTATTAATATTTTGTAGCCGATAATCAAATTTTATTGCGTATGTTTATACATTTGTCGATCGATAAAATAATGTACAAAAAATATCCGGATTTTCGCGGTTTCATAAACGATGAAAAGTTCGTACTTGCGATCGATAAGTAAACAAAGAAACTCGAATCGTCGATAGAACACATCGCAAAACGCGTCAAAACTGAATTAGTGGTATAAAGTTCGCGTTTATTGGCGTTATTCGCGGTGATACGCCGTACACTGCTTACGTATCGTGCAGAGGGTGTTACGTGTGACGTCACGGCTCTATATACACGTTTAACGAGACGTTGGTGACGTTCTCATAAACCTCGGCGCTTGGCTATCCACCAATCATCCCTGTAAACTGTATCGAATTTCGAATTCCTTTCGAATTTTTTAATTTGTTCAAGTTAGAATTGAACAAATAGAAATTTGTATAAGCTCAGAAATTTATATAAATTGCTTCAATTTACTTTAATTTTATAAATAATATTGGTTAACGATTCAAAAGAATAAACCATTTTGAACAATTTTTACTTCGTAATTATAATTCGAAAAGCGTATCGTTATTCGAATTGTTTTTTTTTTTTTTTTTTTTGTATAACGTAAAGAATATACAACAATTGATGAAGAATCGTTTTCAACGGACATCCATTTCTTACTAATGTTCTCGAGAGTTAGTCATCTCGAGCGCCCTTAATTCGATTACTCGTCGATCCTATGAACACTCGCTTCCTTCGTTCCGCTCTTCTCGGTCACTCTTACTTTTCGTACCCCCCACCTACGTTAACTGCCTTTCTATGTACCAAATCGAACGGACGCCATCAATTACAGGTAAGTGCACCAGGGGAGGCATTCCACGCCTCTGATAACAATAAACTCGCAATAAACCTCTTTGTTTCCGCTGTTGTTGCGTATGCTGCATGCACGCGTGTACGTCTTTTTAAATTTTGTTCGTCAATCGTTATTAGAGAAGAAAAATAAAGGGAGATCTCGGTTTCTAACCTATCTTCTAATCTAACGAAACGAATTCTCTTTTCACGAGTTATCTTCGGGATAAGTTTGTCGTGGTATTTATACGAAAATTATGCAAGCACGGGCTATACAGGTGTAACTGCACGCGACGTATCAGCGGTGGTAATTACGCGGCCTCGGAAGTTAGCGTGGCCGTCTCGGCGACCAATAAAGTAAATTGTATCGTGGCCACGGCAAATAATGATAATTAACGACGATCGAGAGCACGAGTTTCCGACGGGGTTCTCGGTGCTTTTAAGGACCCTCAAGAAACCGATCCGTTCGCCGGAGAAACTACCGACAAAGAAACCGTTTCCTAGCCACATCCCCCCTCGATGAACAGACCTTGCGCGCCTGGGGAACCCATCGCGTGCATCGTCGCCATCATCTTCGACGTGGTATACATAATTTCGTTCGGTCGCTCCCTAATCGAGACCTGTCTCTCCTTCTCCTTCTCCCCTGTCTTTTCCCCTTTTTCCCTCCCATCTGGCCCCCGGTTTGCACCCGGTTTCCCTTCGTCGTCATCGTCGTCGTCGTCGTCGTCGTTGTCCTCCTCCTCCTCCTTGTCCTCGTGGTGTTCGTCTTCGCTCTCTTTGCCGCCCCTCGTTTTCTCACATCAGGTGCGTCATAAAGGTTTCATAGTGCCCACAGGCATCGATTTTGTCGTCCACCATGTAACCCGGTGGATCCCGTGCTCGGTTCGCGAGGAATTAATTTCGAAACAGGTTGCCAATGGCTCTTCTTTCCTCGGATAATCAAGGCGTATGAGTTTGGAGAATACTCTTGGACTTGTTTCCAGTCACTTCTTTTTGCACCTAAACTCGAAGATCCTACTTATCGTGGGGTAGAAGAAGGTCGAGATAGGGGGTTGTGAACGTTAGTTTGAGGAGTGGTGGACGAAGGATGGACCGTGGGAGAGTCGGGCGGTCCGGAGGAGGGAAGGGGTTCGAGAAAGGTGGCAGTAGAGGGTGTAGAATGGGTCGCCGGTGGAGGAGGGGGGTGTAGAAGGGGGACGAGATGGGGGTGGTGGTGGTGGTGGTGGTGGTGGTGGTGGTGGTCGTGAAGGGTGGCCGATGGTGGCGGACGCGGGAGAGCGGAGAGAGAAGGAAGGGTGGAATGGACGCCTAGCTGGAAACGCGTCGGTTCGCCGGCACACTAAGTATAGGCGTCCTCGCGACGCCGGCCGTCAATATACCACCCCTAACTAACCCCCCGGGGTCCGTGGGTGTTACTGGCTGGTAGAGAGCGAGACGACCGAGGGACGAAAGAACGAGACGCGAGGAACGTTGGTGCGAGAGATAGGGTTGGCGAGAAAGGAAGTGTGACGAAGAGAAAGATAGCCGGATGGATATAGAGAGAATCGAGACGGAGAAAACACTAGGAGGGTGAGTTACTTCTGCACGAGAGATCGTCGTCGTCGTCGTCGTCGTCGTCGTCGTCGCTGTCGCCGTTCCCGTCGTCGTCGTCGTCGTCGTCGTCGTTCTCCTCGTCGACGTCGTCCTAGTCGTTGTGTGTGCGAGGGTAGGTGGGCACCATCCAGCCATCCTATCCCATTCTATCCTCCTGATGCTATCCTATCCTGGCGTAGCTTAGTTTAGCTTAGGGCCCTGCCACCCGGGAGGCTGCTGGCATCGGAGAGAGAGAGAGAGGTATAACGGTAACGGACAAAGACAAACATAGATGGGACAAGGAGAGTTGGATAGCGTGTGA